CCTCTCCCATAGAGGGTTCTCAGTTGTGAACAGTTCTTTGCATCCCCAGGGGACCAGCCCATGACACCCTGCACTCACAAGATAGCTTCAGTCTTCCAGGTTAAATGGTGCTGGGCATCTGAGACTGAGGACATCTAGTGGCAGAAAGCAATTACTGCAGGGTACAGTACTTTCAGGGAGGTAAGTACTGTATTCAGAGCTGCCAGATATGCTTCAACTTTTAAACAGTTATAAATTAGCTAAATAAAGGTTTTATTCCCTGTACAGTAAGACTAAGGGCTTGTTCACACCAAATGCAGACCAGATCTACATGAGTTTCTGCACACGCAGTACAGTGGTTTGTGCCGCGTTTTTTGACGGGTTTTTTATGCGTTCCAAGCCGTTTTTGGTTTTAGAAATTTGTTTTTTTAAAGTTTAGAATGGGCTTTCAGTGCGTTCCAGGGCGTTTGCATGCGTTTTGATGCATTCCAGAGCAGGTAAAATAGGGCTTGCTGCAGTTTTTTCACATGCTCTGGAACTGAACGCTGCGGTGTGAACTAGAGCCCAAAATACCATTGTAATACATTGGACGCAGTTTTTATCCGGTCTGTAAGTGCTCTGCTTCTGGAACGCGCTTGGTGTGAACAAGGCCTAAGAATGGTAGGGGCAGCTCTAGGGGCCAGCCAGGGTTCTATTGCTTTGCATAATGCTCTCATTCTCCCTTCTTCAACATACTGGCAGATAGGGAGCACAGTGAGACCCTGATCAATGTGGTGATGCTCCTTCACTGTCCAATCAGCAGGCTGGGAGGGAAAGGGGGGGGCCCGGGGGGGGAGCGGGTCCTTGACCAACTTGAAGTTCTTGACTGCATTGGGGAAAAGTGTGGTCATTGGTCTACCTGTGCCCTCTGGCAGGGATGTGTGTGCAGAATTATTTAGAAATTTCGTGAATGAGACAGTTCATATGCATGCATTTCAATTGCCTCTTTGTCTGTTTGCTTGGAGCTCAGCAGTAACACTTAAGGCCTTGTTCACACCAAATGCAGAGCGTTTGATGCGTTCAGGGCCGTTTTTGGTAAAAAAATATAATAATAATTTATTTAGTTTAGAATGGGCTTTTAGTGCGTTCCAGGGCGTTTGCGTGCGTTTTCGATGCATTTGCATGGGTTCCAGAGAAGGTAAAATAGGGCTTGCTGCAGTTTTTTTACATGCTCTGGAAGTGAACGCTGCGGTGTGAACTAGAGCCCAAAATACCATTGGAATACATTGGACGCAGTTTTGATCCGGTCTGTAACTGCTCTGCTCTGCTCCTGGAACGCGCTTGGTGTGAACAAGGCCTTAGTGATGATAGTGCAGATCGTTCTTGAAGAACATGCCACTTTTCTATTGTGCTGGAGGTGTCAGTAGGTCCTTGCAGTTGAAAGACATCATTAAAAGACATCACATGGCAGATCGCTGTAATAGTGATGCCTATTATTAGGCTGTGCTGTTACTACATGACAAGCCCCTGATTTACTAGCCAACACCTGTTGTCACAGACAAGCCCAACAGCCCTCAATGTGACACTAGTCAATGATAACATTAGCACAGCACTTACATATCTATGTAGACTGATACCCCCCAATAGACATCCAGTATTGCTTAACCCTCGTTAGGTGCACCGCTGTGGCATTATTTGTTAATGGCACCCCAACCTACCTAGCCACTGCAATTGTACCACAATGCGTAGTCCCTTATAACCATGCATTGTGTGCAGTGCAATTTAAAAAAAAAAGGGTCACGGGCTTCTGTAGTGTAATTTAGATGCGGTAGGCAGCCCATTGAAATGAAGGCTTGAATGTAAACCGAGCATCCAAGGAATGCAACACTTTCGAAGGATCAATGGCGGGGCTGATATGTTCTCTACACACTACTATGTAAATACAAATATACAAGTGATCATTGTGACACCCTCAGGAGTCAGCTCCCTGCAGACAGGGACGAGTTTTAGTCATGTCTTAGCTTTGAAGAGAAGCACTTTCACACATTACCTGATTAGGTTATTTTAACATGGCATAGACACAAACCCACCAGGACAATAATACTAATTAGTTCTGTTACCGAAGATATGTTTTATTTTTATTTATTTTTTATTTGTACTAAAGAACAAAAACAAAACAAAACAAAACCCAGCACTTTCCTTTATTTTCATTAGCAAATTGACCTTCAGAAGTGTGTGTATAAATACTTATATTAAAAAATAAAAGGTTTTATTGTGTATATTGTATATAAAGTCCAAAAATAAAACATTTAGTGCAACACCTTAGGGGTTCAAAACTATTCCCATCAGTCCTTGTCATGCTGAAGGAGCTGGCAATCTAACGTCCCTACCGCACTCATAGACCATAGATTGTGCCACGCCAGGTGCATATAACTTATTTTTTTTTGTCACTAAAATATGGAAGGAAATGATTTAATGTCAGTGGACCGGTTTAGTGTTATAATGCATAATGTAACCCCTTTCCACATGTATGTGGTGGTGTGCCAACTATGTGAGTCGCTGTTTTGTGCTCGGAGCATGCTTCAGATCATGTGATCACTGTGTCAGCCGATCACAGACAGTGATTACATGATTGGGAAGGCCATGATAAGCCTCCAGTGTTAATATTTCTTAAAGGGCCAGCGGAAAGGGGATAAAGCCTGCCTAACTAATTACACCCCTACTGTATCATATAGCAGCCCTGTGATGCCGATCTTCCCTCTCTGCACCAGTTGATGAATTTTCACCAGCCGACACTTCCGGTTGTGTATTCTTGTCTCCGTCCGCTAAAGACTTTGGTCCCACCTGCCAACTGTTACATCCCTACAGTTCTGCAGGGGCACTGTAGTGACACAGGGTGGGACTGCACTGCACACCAGGGGACATAAGCATATGACACATACAAAAATGTGTCAAATCCTGAAGATGGGTTGGCTAGTTTAGCAATGCATGAGAGCCAAAAGCATATTTACCAAGGCAGGACTGGTAAGTGTTGGGACTCTTCTTTTACAGGTATTTATTACAGGAATCATTTTTTTTAACACCATAAAAGCTTTAAAAAAAAGAAAAAAAAATTGTATATTTTGCTCATGGACAAAAATAAAATAATAAATATAATATTTACATGTATATATATATATATACCAATAACAAAAAGTCACGTTTGACTTCTGCAATTACAAGAGGTGCTCAAAGTGGTTACCATCAGACACTTCTGATTACGGCAAACTACTGCTTGAGCAGCGTTGACCAAAGTGTCCACTCGTATCGCTGCGCTTGCCATTTCAATGTCTTCCCTTAAGTGTTAGGCGTGTTGGAAGCTCTGTTGCATACTCGCGCCTCCATTGTAATTGTACTTCCACAACGTTCTCGAATTTCAAATACCACTTCAAAATGGTCTTGCGCTTTTCGAACGACAACTGAGCTTCCGCCATTTTCTTCGACTGTCCTGCCCGTCGCATGGTGACGCCGGCATTCATCTGATGAACGTCATACTACACATTGCTGCCGTAGTTCAATTCGACTTCGAAAGTAATACATTGAACACTACATGTCACTACTTAGTATAGATGACTGAATTGGATTTCAATGTTACATGTTTGATGCTACTTGATTGATAATGAATTCTGCCTTAAAGGGAATCAATCACATGCAGTGTCCAGGCGCTCGGCATGGGGTGAGAGCTCCCGGCCTTTTGAAACTTCTATTTAACTTACTGCAAAGCATTAGAGGTTCAAATGAAATAATCATAAGAGGCTTAACTTGCACTGGTGATTACTCAGCATGCAATAAAAAAGCAGCAAATTCCACAGTGTCTCAGTTTGCTGTGTTGGACTGCGTCGCCACAGTCCCAATGCAATAAGGGACTGAAAATCCATCGTTTCCAATAGGCTCAGTTCTGACCAATGGGTAAAAAAAAATGATATTAACACAGGTCAACTCAAGCACATTTAGGGCCCCTTCACAGCATTGCAATATGGGGGTGTTGCTGTAACGCACGCACGTGAAATGTGTTGGTGCATTGCAGTACCATTCATTGTGCATGACGCCCTAATGCACCCCCAGAACACATATCTGCGGCAGAACATGTGATAATGAAGCATGGTGATGGCACCAGAAGAACTAGAAGGTCTCAGATGTTCACTTGATGAGTCGGACTAGACTCCGGGTGTCATCGCGATGCTTTATTGTTCCTGGCGGTGCCATCCGCAGTCATTTCAGTGCCCACCTACATGGGGTTTCCGGTCAGGAGTGCGGCGGGGTAGCAATTAGACACAACAGGTGATAAAATGCAGCCTGCCTTATTTCATCCCATTCATTATTTTTAAAGCAATGCAACTCGTGCATCCATGTTGATCCAGCTTCTTTAGGACTGAGGAAGCAACTCTGATGACCAAGTCCAGATAAATGTGACTAACTACTAGCTGTACCATGACCTGAATACATGAGAACTTTCCCTGACAAGGTTACTGAGTTTCCTGCTGGTCATCCCTGAGCACCAGGGACACATGCAGTGACAAACCCCTCAAAATCCAGGGACTGCCATCCGATTTGCTGCCACCCCCATACACAGTGTGAGCGAGTGACAAGTCTATCCAGCACGATCACAACACAGCTCTGCACGCACGTGGGGTAACATTGTATCCAGCGAGGAGGAAGGAGTGGGCGGAGTCAGAATGCAAGGAGCCGCAGCGCCGTCCCCCTCTTCCCGCTGTTGGCCAATTAGAGAACGGGGAGTGGCTGGCATCAGCTTACTTATTAAAGGGCAAGCGGGGGGAGAGAGCAGGCAGAGCAGGATTGCGCAGCTTATGTTATCGCACGGTGTGCCTTGGTACAGTTCTTTATCGCATGCCCGGGCGTGCTGTGCCTGCTGATCACTGAACTGAATCAGGACCAGAGATCGGCCAGGGCTGCAGTGCCCAAAACTGGTTGTTGGACATAGCACGTCGGGACTGTGCCCATCGGGCGGTCGGGGTCTCCAGCGTTGGTTTACTCATCGCCCCCTGGCAACAGCTCGCCAGCCCAAATGTTGAACATGAGCTCAGGCCAGGAGCAGGCTCCCGATGCCCCCTGCAGCCCGGCGGGCACTGCCAGCTCCATGTCGCACGTTTCGGACTCCGATTCGGACTCTCCTCTGTCCCCGGCCGGCTCGGAGGGGCAAGGATCGCTCAGACCCTCCGGCATCTCCCCCCTCCTCTCCAAGAAGGATCCAGACGCACCGATGGACGAGCGATTCCCAGCCTGTATCCGGGAGGCGGTGTCCCAGGTGCTGAAGGGCTACGACTGGAGCCTGGTACCCATGCCAGTCCGGGGCTCCGGATCCCTCAAGGCGAAGCCCCATGTCAAGAGACCGATGAACGCCTTCATGGTGTGGGCACAGGCTGCCCGGAGGAAGCTGGCAGACCAGTACCCCCATCTGCACAATGCGGAGCTCAGCAAGACTCTGGGCAAACTCTGGCGGTAAGTGCCCACTGACCCATCTGTGCTCATGAATGACAACCACCCCCTCTGATTTCAGGGGTTCAGACACTTGTCTCTGTTTTTTGGGGTGTTGAATGCAATTTATTACTGTTTCTTGGCCAACTCTCCCTTTTATTTTAGGGGTTTAACACTTGCCCCTGCATTTGGTTACTTAATGCAGTTTTTTGGCCGACAACCCACCTCTTTCTTCAGGGGTTCAGACACTTGCCCCTGTTTTGGGGGTGTTTGGATGTAGATTTTACTATTTCTTGGTCAACTCCCCACCTTTTCCTGTCTTTGTTTTTGGGGTGTTAAATGCAATGTATTACAAACTACCAATATCATATTTCAGGGGCATCAGACACTCGTCTCTGTATCTTGGGGTGCTAAATGCAATTTATTACTGTTTCTTGGCCAACTATCCCTCTTATTTTAGGGGTTCAACACTTGTCCTTCTATTTGCGGTGGTTAATGCAGTTTCTTGCCAACAACCCACCTCTGAACCTCATGGGTTCAAAGACTTGTCCCTGTTTTTTGGGGTCTTGGATGCAGCTTTTCCTGTTTCTTGGTCAACTATCCACCTCGTATTTCAGAGATTCAACACTGGTCCCCATTTTTTAGTGGGATCTCATGCAGCTTTCTGTTTCTTGGCCAAATACCCACCTCTAATTTAGGGGTTCAGACACTTTTCCCTAGCTTTGGGGTGTAAAATGCAATTTCTACTGTTTCTTTGCCTACTACCCACCTCTTTCTTCAGGGGTTTAAACGTTTACTTGTTTTTGGGGTGTTGAATGCAAATTTTTTTTTTCTCTACTGTTTCTTGACTTTTATATATTTTAAGAGGTGTATTTATAATGTAAGACGTAGTATAACACCTGCTACCTGTGCCATGATGGGTCGTAGTGTGCCCCATTCACTGCTCCAACTATAAAGATGAACTCCATCGGGTATAACATATGTAGGTAACTGCCTCCTTTTACTGGGTCTTAGACATTCACTTCTAGAAGGGTCCCTGCTTTTTGGGATGTTAGAAGCATAGAAGAGTGATGGTATGAACAGACCAAGTTTTGAGTATAGATCTATGCTTGTTCCAATCATGTTTAAAGTAATTTACGGTTGAATCACTACGTCTGCTGGGAGTCTGTTCCGAGCTTCAAATAAATAATAGTTTCTACAGCCAGTTTAGAACTTTCCTCCTGCTAAATTGAGGTCAAGTTCCCATCTTTTTTGATCTTGGCTTCATATTAAAAATACTGCCCTCCTGAACCCTATTCACACATGTTGAATGTGTTTATCTTGGCCTTTAACTGTAATGTGTTTAAAGAGGTGTCTTTAACATGCAAGACGTAGTATGGAATCCAGTAAATATGTCATGATGGGTTTATAGTGTGCTAGTTCAGGTACAACTTAGGAGCAAAAGGACCCTGAAAACTTTGTGTTACCACCTATGTATATAACCTTCTCTTATTTCAGGGTTTAATGCCCCTGGATTTTGGGTGTTGAATGCATTTTTTTTAAATTAGGTTATCATGGCTTTTAAATTACAATTTTTTTAGGAACTGTATTTAAAGTGCGAGGAATAATATGTAAGCCAGTCAGTATGCCAGAATGGGGTTGTAGTTTGTTGCTGCGACAGAGTGTAACAAGCTCAGCTATAGCATAGGAGCAATGGGGCCCCGGAACGGTGTGTGTTAGAACGTGTGTAGAACACGAGCATAGGCAATGATTTGGGTGCCCTTTGGACAAATGTTCACAATTAGGGTCTACAAGGTACCAAATCCTTGAACTACTCAAAGTGGTGGCTTGTAAACCCAAAGAATCTTTAAATAATAATAATGTATAATAATAAACAACACTAATAATACTAATATTATTATTATTATCTACATTAATTATATATAGCTTATGTGACTTATTTAAAAAGCTTCAGCCTGGTTTGTAATACAGTAACAATGCCGCAATGGGGCCGTATTTTTCTGTAAGATCACTACTACAGAGTATAATTAGCTGAGGTCTAACATGGGAGCAAAGTGACTCTGAAAAGTTAGTGTCAGCACCTATGTAATGAAGATTTGGGCCATCGATGGAGTGCCAGTAACGATCAGGAACTCTGTAGTCTTCTACAAGGTGGCACGTTTGTTTTGAAGGATCTTCCAAGAGCAACTTGGTGGCTCGTAGAACTGAAGGGTTCTTGAGTAGTATTGACTTTTGTTAATTACTTTAGTTGACTTATTGTGAATTGACTTGTCAGCGTCATCCAACGCTGGACAAATTCCAGGAGCCAGGTAGCCGATGCTGAAAAAATAATGGTCACCAGCACTCCAAAATGGTGGCCAACTTTTGAGGTTTCCTCAAGTCGTTGTCAATAGAGCTAGCTCCTGGATTGGATAGACCGGCCCTTGCATTCCAAATAAATTTGTCCCCCCCTGGTGTCAGCTGATGTCGGAGGCAGTTGTTTGGGAAGTTTTAGTCAATGAGATGACCGGTTTCAGCTAGGTTTGGCTATTTTGCTCTTGGGTGTACCCCCACCACACCCCATGTACATTATATCTAGAAGAGTTTGCATGGTTGGCTGTAGTTGGGCTCACACCTGGAATGCCAAGTTTGGCATACATCGCCCGACTATATGGCACATATGATAAACAATCATAATTTGTGTTTTCTCCGACATGAACGACAAGCTCTCAGCGGTGATGTATGCCTCCCCCTCTTGCTGGCTGGAGTATTGAGCTACCATTCTAAACCAATAAACTTTTTCCAAATGGAAAATTGTTGTAACCAATTCTAAAAATTCCCATAGCACTCCATTAGAGTTTCTTTATTGTCCAATCCTTGACACAAATGTTGTTACCATCTATCTGATATATATATATATATATATACACACGGGCTGGTCAAATCCCAGGAGTCGGGTAGCCAATATGCCAGGTGCCATTACAGCTGGCACATTATGAGCCTGCCTCCGGAATTACATATTGCTTTGTCCACAGTTGCTCTGTACTGTGCATTGAAGCAGAGCTCAACAATTTTTTTGGGAGTGCCAAAAATTTTACATGGGGACCCGACTTATTTGACCTTCTCCAAGTCCTTAAAAATATGCCCCATTCATATTTGATACTTAAAATTTTGGTAAACGACCCCTGATTTCTGACAAGGACTCCCTTTATCAGATCTCTGTGCTATAGTGATGGGCTCCCTCCACAGCAAAGTCTCCCCTCTTTTGCTGCAGCCTGGAGAATAATGAATCTGCTGTTGCACTTTTCATAATAAAAACATAGACGAAAGCTATGATGGAGTGACTGAGACCTAGTCGCAAAGGCCGCTGTGGGTGTCTAGATCTGGGAGCTCAAGACGTCACTGTAACAGGCCCTATGATACATTCGAAGCCAACCAGTGATTTAGCTTGCAAGTTCCTACCCAAAACTGACCCTTTAAATTTGCCATAGACTGGACTTAACGGCCTTCTGAACTTCAAGTATGTCTTGGGTACCTTGCCCTGTTTTCCTGTGCCTCGGACGTGTGGGACATTGGTTTGGTCGCTGGCCTCTTTGATTGAGTGGTGGAACATGATTAATGTCCCGAGGTCAGGTTTACACAGCCATTAACAGATGTTGAACGCTGCTCTGTGCGCAGTAGGTCTCTTCCTCACACTTACTGCGATTCGCTCCGATCCACAACAACTGAAACAAAGGACAGACTTCAGCCACTGACAGGTGTCAGGAGCGAAGACTCCGCGGCCACTCACAACTGTAACTTGAGCAGTAGCTGACAAGATGGCACTCGCTGTGTACCAGCTGTTCCAGCCAAAGCAACAGGGTCATCCTGATTTCTCCAATCGGTGCTCCATTTTTCTTTTTTGTAATTAGTATGTAGCACAGCGTATCCACTTTACAACAGATGTTAAATACTTATAGGCTTAAGCAGCTGTCAGGATTAGGCGTTAACCCTTGCAGCTCTGGGTGGGCCTGAAAACGATCAGCACTTAGGGGGGGATAAAACCCCAAAACTTGTTCCCAAAATCCATTCTAAGAGACAAAGCCCCAACATCTGTACCCGTGCCACCCATTAAAGTAATCAGCAGGCTCCATGCTATAGTAGGATTACCAGTCTCAGGTGGTCATGTAGCCTAGCAAGATGGGGCTTGGAGTCGTAGGACAGCTTCTGTGGGCAATTTACTAAAAGATGTGCTTTCGTTACTGATTGGCAAGCCTTTCTTTGCTTGACATAAGGGGCTAGTAAAAAAAAAGTGTGGGTGTTTATATGACATATACACATATATTATGTGTGTATGTTTACACACACACATACACACACGTATATATTTATATTATATGCTTCTACAACTAGAGGGTGAGCTGTGGGCATGCTGTGACGGGTAGTTCACAGCAGTTGGAAGGGAGGTCGGGGGGCACAAGGTACTGTAAATATGGAAGAAAAATTATGTAATTGAGAACTGCACACATAATCTGTAAAATGTTAATAAAGGTCATGGGCTTGTGAAAGACACATTTTTACAGAGGTCCAGAGTGTTGAAATATAATACAAATATCCGGTCCTATTCCTTCTTCTTTTTTTTTTCGGTGTTTGAAATAATCACATATACAGATAACGTGCAAACATACACCGTTTCCTGAATTAAATTATATACATAACATTTGCTACTGAACTTAATTTTGCAATGACGTTATTAATGTCTGATAAGATATTCTCCAGAAATGCGTTGCATCAGATCCTTGTCAGTCACCAGGAATTTATACTGCAATACCTGGTCAAATATTAATAATATGCGTGAAGCAAAATTCATTCATTTGTCAAATAGTGTTGCTCCGGAAATCAAACTTTGACAACTCCATTTGTTGCCAAACAAAATGAAAATTCTTATATTGTATGGGATGCATCGATGCTTATACTAGTGTTTTTGTTTTTTGTTTGTTTTTTATGCTTACGAATCTGTCCTACACAGATTTGATCAATATATTAATTTCTTTGCTACAATAAAGTAAAATATTTAAGCGGATGATTTAAAAACACTTGGGTCACCATTTAGTCGCGCTAGAATACTTCAGCACAATAAATGACAAGTTACATTCTTTTTACGCTGAATTTGAACTAAAATTTTTAAAGTTAAACGCTCCCAAATAACATGTGGGAATAATTTCTTACCTAGGTGGGCAAAGTGTACCAATCCACAACAACCACTCACACATCAGCTTTTAACAGCCAAGAGAGGGACCCCAATAAAAGATGAGTCCTAATTGGTCCTGCAGGGCTCTTGCATATCATCTTTGCACCGTGCCAAAATGGGAGTTTGCCGCGCACTTATCATGTTGTTACATTTTCTCAGCGTCGCAAATAAAAAACATATTATTGGAGAGTAAGAGTTATTGCGCAATTTGGAACCCTGCCACACACACACAAAGGATAGGTCTGTTAATAAGCTGTGACCACTATTTAAAGTGGTGCGTAAGGATCAGTTACTTGCTTGGCGAATGTATGCTAACATCTATAAAATTCAGAGTTTCAGGGCCACGGCGTCTACAGCCATTAGATATTTTTTAAATGGATCCATTAAAAGCAAAAAGTGTCACCGCTCTGATTTTTGCACTCAGTATTTGTGTCTAGCGCTGTCACAAGCTGGCGTAAAATGCTGCCACTGTCTCACCTGATTTCTTCCCTGCACAGAAGGGGTTAATGTGCTGAAACAACTTTTTCTGTACTTCTTTCAGCAGTTCCAGAATAAATATTTGGTGAAACTTTGCAGCTCAATCATTACTCGACAATGTAGAAAAACACCTTTTTTTTCTTTTTAAACCAAATTCATGATATGGGACTTTAAAAAAAATCACAATGGAATAAATTAGCAATTTTATTTCGCTGCAGAATGAACCTTTTGGCTTCAGTTTTGTATTTGGTATTAAGGATGATTTTTTTTTTAAATGTGTTTATTTTTGGGGTGGCTTAGCGAAGGTGAAAAGTCAGTTAAGAAAAATTATTTTTTTCACTCAGCTTATCCACTTTAATGATTCAAGTGCAAGCAAAAGTTTTTTGTTTTTTTTTTGTTTGTTTTTTTAATTCCCCTTGTTTAGGTTCAGGTATTCACATGAAACACAGAATTAACCTAGAATACATAGAATTATAGAAACAAAATTAAACCTAAAATTAACATTCCTTATTAAACTCAATGAACAGTCTCTTTGTTTATAAAAAAATAACCCATTAGGTTGTACCAGTAACATTCTAGACTCATTTGCATTTTCAGTGCTAAAGTCAACTTTAAAAAAAAAAATTTTAAACCAGTTTCTTTAACCAAAAGTTGTAGGAGTTAAAAGCGGAAGTAATAAGAAAGGTCTTCAAAAGACAGAAATAAAGATTTAAATTATATCTGTAACCGCTGTTTATTTAAAAAAAATTTTTTTGGAACTTCCTAAAACACAAATTAGCCACCGAAAATGTGGTGTTCATCCTTTTAAACTCCTATTGTGGTTTTTTATTTAAGTTACTTGGAAAAGGTTGTTTGTTTTTTTTTTTTTACATTTTAACAATTCTTCACTATTTTGTTGTGCAAATGTATTTTATCATACAAACCTATGCACTGTATTGTTACATTAAAGTCACTGGCCTTCTTTTCAATTCTCGTAGTATCTGTGTGAATGAAGGTATATTTAAATTTTAAAAAAAATATTGTATTTTGTCAAGTAGGAAGTATTTATTATCAAAATGATAGTAAATTAATTCATATCTTATTGTTTTCCACAAATTATTAAATCTTTGCACTGGGAAAACAATATATCACACCAAAAGTATGTTAAACAAAAAAAAATGCCTGTAGTAAATGAATAGCATTGCTTGTCTTATTGCTGCAGGTTGTAAATAACTCTTATATGGCAACAGCACTGAGACAATAGTACCTTTAGGGGGCCAAAACAATTTATTTATGCTAAGGAATCATTATAAACATTTCCTTTTTTAATATCTTATATGCAGTGAGCAGCAAAAAATAAGTTAAGAGGCCACTAAATTTTGAAAATTAAGTTGTATTTCAATTTAAGTTTTTTTTTAGTGTTTACAATTTTTTCATTAATTAAATATATTTGCTAATTTGTTAGAATTCTAATTCATGTATTTATTGTTTCAGCATTTGTTTATATTATTTTATAGCTTCTATGTGTATTCTTTTGATTCTGGCAAAGTTGTGCAAAAAAAACAAACAAACAATAATATAATTATGTTTATACTTGCAACATTATTATTGCAATTTTTGGGACAATTTACCATAATCCTACCCCTTATTTGTTATATGCACTTCTGTTTATTAATAGCAAATTGGTTCTTATGCATGAGGAGGCCGGTGCTTCCATTGCCAGGCCTCTAATTTAAAGGTTATGTGTAGAGCTGCATACTTGGAACACTTCTGTTCTCTAATCAAACCTCCTGTTTTTCCTCTTCCCGCAGCTTGCTAAGTGAAAGCGAGAAACGTCCTTTTGTCGAGGAGGCTGAGAGGCTGCGGATCCAGCACAAGAAAGATCACCCCGATTACAAGTACCAGCCTCGCCGGAGGAAGAGCGTCAAAGCTGGCCAGAGCGATTCGGACTCCGGGGCTGAGCTGGGCCACCACCCTGGATCTCAGATGTACAAGTCTGACTCTGGATTAGGAGGGATGGGAGATGGACACATGCATGGAGATCATGCAGGTATGGTGCCACAATTCTCAGTTGATGCTCTAATGATCCTTAAGGCCCACATTTTCGCATATCATCTAGATTAGATCCAGGATAATGGCAGCAGGTAAAACAACATGTACGTGGTTTTCCTATTAATGAGGCTGTCCACATTTTGAAAAATGTGTCTACTCGCTCTTCATCTTGTTTATCCCTACACCTTCTCATTATGCTTAGAGACAAACATCGAAGGTGTGGGTTCTCCAGTTCTCTGCCATGTGATTTAAATTATCAGGAGGAGTTTCCCCCGGTGAAGGTCATTGTATAGGTGAACATGGGGAGAATGGTGTCCTCTCTTTGCCTTGTCCATTACTCCTGTGTTGGAGACTTCTGTTGACCCTTGTTGTGAAAGGTCATTGAGCTCACATTATGTGACCCTCAAGAAGGCCAACGTATTATCAGAATCAACCTTCTGCCATGGTTGGGTCATTGCAGCACCATGTCATGGTCAGATGGAGGTGTGCTCCTGCATCTTCTCACAACTCTCTATACAGTTTAGTTATATGAATACAATGTTTTTTCTTAGTAAATGTGGAAAGATCTAAAAAGTGGAGCCTTCCATTACTAATGTTCTCTAAATATGAGCAAGGCTTGTATCCAAAGCCAACATCATGGGAAGGCCATGCCTCTTCAAATGACTGTGCACTGTATACATATCCTTCAAGTATATCTAACACAAACATTTTTCTTTTTTTGGGGG